GCGGTGCATCTTTTAGTGCGTCTCGAGCTTTTGCACCACGAAAATTGCATCACTCGTGATTTTTACGCGTTTTACCTTGCAAGATGGGTTGCAGTTGACTGTATGTGCTCCTAATGAATAAAATGTAATAAAGGAGAGCAGAATTACTTATTGGCACCAGCGCGGTCAGCAAAAAGGACATGCACTTCCGATTAATGCCCGCCGCCCCAAAGAACAACTGAGCGGCCCTCCGTCAGAGGGCATCTAGCAAGTGGGCGGTCCAACTGGGCGGGCGTTAGAACTAGAACTTTCAGCGGCTGTAGCTCGCTCCTCGCTCGCTGTGGAGTCGCGAGAGTGGGACAGTCTCTAGCTTGGGGGCTGGACCACTAAGGACCACCATGTACTGCTTGAACGCGGGGGCTGTCTTTAAATCCTCGTCTTCAAAGGCCAACGGTCTCACCGTTCAAGCGGAAGAGTCCGCTGCCACGCAAAAAGGCAAGTCAGGAAAAGAAGCCGACGATTCAATCGAAACGTTAGGCCATACTAAACAAATGTTCCACCTCCCTACCTACCCTCGGAGGCAAAGAAGTAGAACACAGTTGATTCACAGTCCCTTTGTATCTTTGAGAAATATGTGAATAACTATCAGAATATGTGGATGACTTGAGTTATTACTTGACTGGTATCGAATTCCAGACGTTTAACAATCTTGGCTGTGGAAGTCGATTAAGTCGTGGCGTTTCTGTTGATGAGACGAACCGACTCGCTCCCGCTCCCGATCAGGATCGAGATACCAGCTACAGTACGTCTTAACCTTTTTGCTCTTCTCAAAATCAATATTGACATGCCATTACTTCTTTTTTTAATTATTTCTGTTTGTGGAAACATGGTGTCACACAGGCGGTGCCAAATTTCACGAACTAATATGGGAAAAATCTATTAGGAGCATTGAATGACGAATCTTTGAGATGTTCTTGGAGATGACTGGCAAGATACTTTCAATTCAGAAATGCGAAACAGCGCGTCAACAGGATTACGGATTTCCCCGGCGGTGACGACGACTAAAATTGCCGCCAGGGTTAATGCTACACCGGATGACAACGACGACGAGAAAGAGCAACGGCGACAACGACGCCTTAGAAGGCGAAGCGTTGAGAGTCACGTGCCGGTAAGCTGCGTTATAAATGTTTTTTTCTGTGTGCAGTGATTGAGCCTCGCCCAAACCTGTCTCTGTTCAGTAGCTTTCCACTCCGTGTTTTGCGTAACATTTTGGTGAAATTCCGCTAGAGAGTGAATACTATTGTTGATAACGTCGCAATGGTTGTCAGGAGGGGCGGCAATGAGTCCTCCAGTTGCCCTGCTCAATATGATTCGCCAGAGATCGTTTAGGGAGTAGGCAAACAATGGTAGAGGAACGCTGTGGTGTGGGGCTAATTGCATCTCTTATAGGTTGGCTGCGGCGAAGGGATCGTGTCAGGTGTTGTTTAATAGAGTTTGGGCGTGGCTAACCCGTTCTCGCACGCAGTTTTTTTTGAAGCGAAGCAAGTGATAATAGGTGTTATCATGTGTATCGTATTCTGATTTTCTACCAACTGTTGGCGAATAGCTGCTTAACAAATGGGAGTTAGGGTTTGGCCGGCAGTGACAGCATTATGCTGCTGCCTCATGCGGAGAGATAGTGTAGGAGACCGACGTACTTGATTGCGAAGATAGTCGAGTGTAATGCGCAGTGAAAAGGAGGGCTTCGGTTAAGCAGCAGATGGCAGACCAGTATAGTCCGCGAGGTCGGGAACAGGAAGGCAAGTAGCTCGCATCAGATCGATTTGGCGTACTTGGTAGTTGGCTTTCAGCAAGCGTCAGGTTCTTATGAGAAATAAGAAATTGCTAAGAAGGCTTGGTAGCTCCCAAATTATTATATGGACCAGAAACACGCTCCATTCACTTGCAGTTATTTTCCTGTAGACGCTTGGGCGTGTCGACGGAATTTGACGCGGTCCCAGCCCGTTCTCCACCAACTGTAGTACCGGGTAAGCGAATACAATTGATGCTGAGCTGGTGCCGCGCCAAAGCGAACGTGTCCCTCTCCCCGACACGCCCAGCGTCTGCACTGGTTCCTTTTTTTTTCTGAATGGAAGGTGAACTTCTAGCATCTTTATCATTTTCAAAGTCTTCCTCAAAACGTAAGGGATTTACCTTCATCGTTTTCTTGCTTTTTATTTACCGTCTCAGTTTCAGGTTGCAATTCCTTGCGGTGCCACTCCACAAGAAGTGCAACAGCCGCCACCACCGCCACCACTGCAGTCTCCTGCACGATATGGCATCGTGCAACGATCAGTCGTTCACGCTCCTGTAGAGAGTATGGTGAAGATGCGCGACAACGGTGAAGATGAGGAGTTCCGCATCCCTCTTGAAGACAATAACAAACCGATTCTCTTCTACAAGTACGTGACATTTTTGGCAATTAGAAACGAAGAAAAACAAAATATTGGAAAAAGAATACACTCCAAAGCACAGATGATCCGTTTCGCCCGTATCGCAGACGAATCATCATTGTCTAGCCAACCCCGGGCTCGTCAGTGCGACAGGGTTGACGACATGAGGACATGGACTACATAGGGGAAGGAGTTGAGAAATAGGATAAAACGAGAGAAAATGTAAAAAAAACATGCAAAATTCATGCAATCAAGATGAGGAAGAATTGTACAGAAAACCCATATTTGGCAGCGAGTACTCCGTCTTTGAACTTACCCTCTGACGCCCAGAGAAAAGTGGCGTATCTCTTCCAGTGGATATCAGATCGAGTAGATGAACAACTAGAGAGCTCAAGCCACCAGAAGACCACTGAAGCGCAAACCTGGCGATTGTACGTCCGTTGATAGTGGAGTTACAATATTACAAACGCATCAATCATTAAATGCAGTTAGCCATTATATTTCACTGTACCGTTTGAAACAGAGAAAGGTGCCCAGTATTGCAAAATTGTGAAAAAACGAGGGCGAAATGTGATTGAACACGAAATTGTGGGCTTTAGGGTCCTTTGCCTGCCACTGCGACAGTGGACGAGCGAAAGGGCGAACCTCTTTGCGACGAGTCTACCGAGTGGACGTTTACTGCTAGCCAAAAAACCAGCGTACATTACGGTCGCTCTCACAGTATAGGCCACGGGCCTATTTTACATCGCCAATGACCGAAAGCAGCATCAGGACGGTCGTCACCCCCCCCCCCCCCCCCCCCCCCCCCCCCCCCCCCCCTTTTTGGGCGGTGCGGACGCTGTGGGTGCTGGTCGGCAAGTTGCTGCTCGATAGGGCGCTCTTCAGGGTACCCTCCTTGGAAGAGGCGCTACGCAGCGCCTGTTCATGGCCACGGAATTCTGTCATGGCCATTCGTATGAGTCCTACTCTCTTTCTGAGTTTTTATTGCTGCCAACGCTTTAAAGGACATTGGTACCGCATGTTTTCTACTTAGCCTAAAATGCTAGTGGGGCGCTGTATAGTGGGGAAATGGCGAAAGAACGGAGTGAAACGGTCAAAACCCGGTGAAGAAAAAGCCTCCGTTCTCAGTACTTCGTTAAATGCGATTCGGACGAGTTTCCCATATGCATCCTGCAATCACCGCTTACCCAAAGATACGGCTTGATATTGGCACCCATTTATATGCATGCAGCCTATCACCGGCCGCCTTTCATACAACCCGCTTCGCCTCATAACTTGCCCAGCCAAATAAATGATACGACCAAGCCGTCAGAAATGGTCGTCCGTTTGTGGGCGGGCGGGCAAGGAAGGCGTTTGGGACGTAAAGTTGTTGCTCAATAGGGCGTTATAGGAGTACCCTCCTCGGAAAAGGCTTGACGCAGCGACTGTCCGAGGTCACGGAATTCTGTTAAGCCAGTTGTACAAATCCTACACCTGTATAGCGATTTATCGTGCCAACTGCCTTTAAGTGGACTCTGCAGTGATGAAAAAAGCGAAAAAAGTTGGGAAGAACACCCTTATTCAGGACCTGGCAGCCTCTCTGAACGAGCAATCCGGACCTATTAGCTTTATGCCAGCAAAGCGATATCCTGCTCCCTCTAGCTCTTTGATCATTTTATTCGCGTTATCCAATGCTAATACCATCTAACTGCGAAAAAAGGAAAACACTTGTGAAAAACTAAACCCATCCTATAGAATTGAGTTTCGGTGGGCGGAAAAACCAGGGAGGCGTCAGAACTACCACGTATGAGGGCCCGCAGCCTTCGTTGCTTACTGTAAAGCCGCGAAAAACAGGGTAATCATAGAGACAAGAGGTAGACGCCCACGATTGCTTGAGCACAGGGACTGTCTTTGAATGAACCCCACATAAAATTTGTCAGACCTTTACTACTACTACAAATGATGTTTACAGCCAGGGGAGCTTTCGTTGCGGAAAAGGAATGGCTGTTTGCCTCTGAGAGAACAAGGGGAATTTGTCCGGGATAGTTCTCTTAATTATGCTCATCCATCATATCTCTCATCTTCATATGAATAATAAATAAAATATCTTGTCCGCTGTTGATGCTGGCGCGTGTCAAGGAGGCTAGGTTTGGCACGGTGCCAATCCATTTTTCATCGAGTTGTAATCAGCAGCAACATCACTAGCTTCAGGTAGTGAAACGCTTTTTCTGAGATGTAATTCGGACAGTAAATTTGGTTCTGAGGAAGCGCGTTTGGACCTCCAGAACCAAGGTGCAGCATCTGTGAATGTGTGAAATTGTGATGTTCAGTACGACCCCCCCACTCGAGGCGAGGGTCTCGGCGTACGGCTCCCCTTCCAGCCGTTTACCAACAACTTCCTATTCAGCCTAACTACCACTTTGTTCCGGATGCGCGAAAATTTTCCCATTCCCTCCAAAGTGTTTGCTGTCCAGCGCAAGGGGAGGAGGTATTACCACCATAAGAAGCGAAAAACAACAAAAGCTCAACAATTGGAAATTTTCCCAACGCGGCAAATTTCTCTCAGGGGCACATACACCCCCCCTTCTCTCCCCAGCGGCCAAGTCCGACCCCCCATGTGTTCCACACAACAATGCGTACCTCATGTCCCAGACCCGTGTGGGGGGAACACATTTGTCACCTCCTACAATGGAAAGTGCCTCTTTTTCACATCACGATGGTCATAGAATTTGGTGCGCCACGAACCAGGCGGCATTGTCGCGCCAAGCTAATGTGTTTTCGTGTTCAAGGGGTCAGAAGTACAACTTCTCCATAAATTTGATGTTTGGAGGCGATTTTGAGCCGAGCGCATGCGACATTAGTGTTTAGATATACTCCTCTTCCCCGAGACGGGGTAGGCGTGGCATTCGAATATAGCGCAGAACTGGTTACTCGTGGGATATTTCAATTTGAGACCACCGCCCATCTTGTTGCTAGTTGACGAGACGTGACCAAATTAGGGTCAAATGAAAATATCTCTTCAAAAACATAGCTATCACGACTTCTGTTGGCGCCACCCCTACTGGCATTTAGGGATTTCGAGTGTACTTCAATTACATCGTAAGATAGAAAGTCATAATTGCCCACGGGAAAATTTTCGATCAAAATCTTGCTTGGTTTTCAAATAGTGGAATAATGAAGAGGAGATTGTGTCATGTTTTATACGTGCAATGAAACTAGGTTGCGTTCATACTTTACGGCAGCGTCCACAGGCGTCCACTAGCGTTCCGAGCGTCCAGCAGCGTTAGCGACTAGGAAAGTATAGATATCGATCTAGTGTCTGCCAGCGTCTGCTAGCGTCCACCAACGTCTGGGAGTAGAGGTACGGAGAAGTAAGAGGGTGAGTTAGGTGTCGTAAAATTGCGCCGTGTGCAACTGCACCGTACAACTACACTACACCGTACAATTTGCATAGCTTGGTGCTTTAGCAGTTGTGCGGTGCGGTTGCACACGCCGCAATTTCACGACGCCTAATCCAGCTGTTTGCTACCCTCCTACTTCCCCATACTCTCTACTCCCGGTCGCTGGTGGACGCTGGCAGACGCTGGCAGACGCTAGATCGATATCTATACTTTCCTAGTCGCTGACGCTGCCGGACGCTCGGAACGCTAGTGGACGCTGATAGACGCTGCCGCAAAGTATGAACGTAGCCTAACGAGGGTTTCAGTCAGCTCTGAAAGATTTGTGTACTTTGCGCAGATAGCTAGATGCCGTCCACAATCCTTGTATGAGAAGTAACTTTGTTCTCTTGTCGAGTTTCACGTTTCCTTTTCATTTATGTTGTTTATTTCAGGCGAAAACGATACCAGTTCCTCAATTTCCCCAGAGCTTCTTCAAAATCGTAGCCATGTAGTAGTGTATGTCCAGCCGGTCGTCTACACTGTTTTTGCCAGTCTTGTTGTTTGAATTAGTTGAATGTCGGCTATTTGGCGTTCGTGTCTGCGCAATCCACAGCACCTTCGGGCGCTGAAGGACTGCTCAGTCCTTACGTCCGTCACCCACATCACTCACTTATGTTACGGTCGGTCAGCGGCCTGATGTCTTGCCTTGTGCATTTTTCAAGTGCTCGAACAAATGTTAGTGTTCATTTGTCGTTTTCTCAGTGTATACGGCTCTCTAAGAGCTATTAATTGCCCACCCTGCCTCGTCGCCTCTATGAATCGTGCCACATCACTACGGTCCTATTCTGTTGGAATTTTGCCAAAACACACGCTTCAATTGATTGTTTTCTTCTTCTTGCGCGCGGCTCATTTGCTCCCTAGTCATTCTCAGTTATTTTACTTCTTATCTTCGCATTGCTATTATCGTATTCACAAATGTTGCTCAGTTATTTCTTTGTTCGTTAGATTAATAAAGAATTTATGACCACAACTTTCAGCCTATTTGGCGCATCAACATCTTAGCCGAGTTTGTTGGGGCAAATACTGTTTAAAGGCACGGTCCGCGATCAGGTATAGAAGTTGAAAATATGGCGTCGGGAGGGTAGTGTGGTCCGCGACGAACAACCCGTTTCGCGGCAAAAAATTGTAAGGGAGGGGCGCTATAGCGCAATATAGGTTCAGTGACGCCTCCTTTTTCCAGTGACTCCGCCTCCAGACTCCGCCTTCAAGGCCCGCCTTTCAGTGAAAACGAAGCTGCAGGACGAAAAAGCATGGAAATCGTCACCTGTGGAGTTCTTATAGGGCGATCAGCTGTGTGGATGGGGGCATGGTGGTGGAAATGAAGTTATTTGGGCACGTACAAATTGGGTCGAAATGGGGTTCTATCTAGAGCAGTTGGCATGTTTTTTTCCTACTTTTTTCTTCCTTTTCGAAATACTTAGCACCTTGTCGTCTATATGCAAACCCCTAATCCACACTATCCGTGATGGCGAATAATCGCGGGCTTTGCCTTTAAAGTTGAAGGATGCGGAAATACAGGGGGGGGGCCAAAAAAGTCATTTTTCCTCCATGACTTTCAAGGCGCTATAAGTTACACTTTATTAAATTTTTATCGGACATTTTTACTACCATATTAAAGAGCACATTAAATACTATAATGATACTCCCGCCACAGCCTTCTGGAGGAGCGCCATCCGCCGAGATTCGGACCGCATGCCGGAAAGTGGAGTTGCTACCAGTGGCGCGGCGCGTCGCTATTTCCAAATGAACGGCTACAGGCATTGGGGGTAACGATCCAAGGCCGGGGAGGGTCACGGAGACGTAGAAGGGCCCGTCGGCGACGGTTTCGCCAGTGGTTTTCCCCCGGCCGCTGCTGTTATAAAACGTAGCCGTGGAGGTTGGGGGTTGGGGAGGGACTCATTCCTAGTGACATCTCCCGCTAGACCACAACGGTGTTAGATGTAGGCTGATCTGACAGCGTTGCTTTGACTCAACTAGCTGACAAGAACAAGGAGCCCTTGGGGCCTCAGATGTAGTCTAACTACTCCTCACGTGCTTCTCCCCTCATCTATGCATTCGCAACCCTCTTAGAAGGTGGCTTGATACGACCCCCTCCACTTCCCTCCTCGCTGTCGAGCGGAGAGGGGCGGCGTATTGTACACTGGAAAAGGGAAAAGTCGCGTGGAAAATACTACCACCCCCCAGCGACTCAATATGATGGTCCTCTTGGGGAATCCCTAACGATGATGTGCCCTGAGCTACCCCCATGAGTAAAGGGCCTGACGTGTACAGAGAACGAGAAAAGATAAGAGTGTGCACACATGTGGCGCGGTTTACTATAGCTACACGTGCACCATGCGACAATTTCCCTCCACCGGCTTGATGGTGGATGGAGTCCAGAACAGCATATGGCTATCACTACCCTCCATCCCATTCCCCTTCACTGTTGATTAGACAAAGTGGCAGGTACTGCAGCCGCGGGCCAATTCATCTCGCATCTGACAGGGACCAGGACTCCTCGGAGTTATGCTACATTTGGCGTTAAAAAACCGATACTGGCGTGCAAGCGCGGCCTTGTTCTTAAGCTCATAACACAGTAATACCAAAAGCGCAAAGCTTTAAGCCGTGACCTTGTGCAACGAACCTTGTTTGATGGTCAATGTGGTTTCATCATTCGACGGCATAACCTTCAGGTTTGCGAGTAACATCGGCTGCTTGTAAACAGTAAAATAAATTTCGGTGGTCTTCGAGATCTTGAACGAGATCGGCTGTAAAATACGACTATTACACATAAGCAACCAAATTTCGTAGCGGTTAGTGGCAAGTTGCTCTGCGGCAACTGCCAAAATTGCTTTTAAATCACTCAGAACAAAAGCTCTTCTTTGCAGGTTTTTGACCTTTTCACTCCGTTTTTGCCATTTCCCCACAATATAGCTTCCTTGCTACTATGCTACCAAATTATCGTGCTTATGGGTAGGGAGAAGTAACCTCTTGCTTATGGGTAGGGAGAAGTAACCTCTATGTCCCCAAGAATATTTCGTACGGAGTCAATTCCAGTTTT